GTCAAAAATCAACTGAGCTTCGATCGTCAACATTTTACGATTATTAAGAAGAAATTTACTACAGTTTTAATTGTACGAAAGAATAAACACGTGAAAGGAGGCAGTTGTCGTGTTCCTCGTCAAATTTTCTTACGCTTTACATGCAAAAACTTGTCCAACTTTTCGCCTTATCGTTTTCAACGAATTCTTTCCTCGATGAAATTGTCGCGGTTCGCGCGGTGAAAATTTCATAAAGATCAGGCGTTTTAATTCGAGAACGCCGTTGGGATGGGTTAATCTTGGGACGAAGTTTCTTATTGCCGGGCATAAAGCGATCCTTTACGCTTCTTCCCCTCCTCCTCGCGAGCACGGCCAACGTTTTACGAGAAGCTTCCAAGATAAACTCTCGCGGACGCTATTGCTCTAGAAATTGCCACAATAAGGCAGTTAAAGAGTTCTCGAGAGACAGAGTCAGAGAGAGAGAGAGAATGAGAAGTTTAAGCTTCATTTTTCGGTGAGATACGATGTTTTCGTTTTAGAGAGGAAAAAAGAGGGGAGAACTCTGATGTGAATTATTTTTCTGATATTTATACAATGATTGTAAATGTATTTACATTAACATTATATATTTAAATAATTGCAATAAATTGTAAATTGTGATGAATATAAATATCGTGGAAGATGCTTGTCAATTTTTAGGTATTATATTTTCAGTGTCCGACTATACGCTTCTGTTACTACTTACTCCGAGCAAGTAGAATTTACTTACCACTCCTTACTTCCGTTCATTATATTTTCTATAATAATAATGAAACGTATAACGTTCATTCATATATATCGTAAAATTGAAACTTTTAATTTGAATACTCTTACACAAGATAAAAAAAAAAAGAAAAAAAAAAGGAAACGCGTGAAAGAGATTTACAATCTTTTTTTAATATCGATCGATAAAATTTAAATAAATAAGGTTTTAGATAAATTTTAATTTTGTTTATAATTCTGATAAAACGATTATTGCACAATTTATATTTATATGCACAATTTCAATTGCAATAATCGTTTTATTAGAATTATAAACAAAATTAAAATTTATCTAAAACCTTATTTATTTATAACCTTTGTTATCGATCGATATTAAGAAAAGATTGTGGATCTCTTTCACGCGTTCCTTCTTTTCTTCTTTTTTTTTTTTTATCTCGTGTAAGATTATTCAAATTAAAAGTTTCAATTTGATTCAGGATTGAATTAAATCTTCTTACGAATGTGATATTAAAATCTTGTTCAAATGACAAGACTGTCGTCAGTGTGAACTTTCGTCACACTTTTCATACAAAGTTTCCTTTTCCTCGTTTTATCGCCACAAAAACTGCTCACCCCAATTATTTCGCGGAGGGAAAGGGAATCCCGAATTCTAATTAGAAAGTTAGGAAAGACAGGCTCGTCTTCCATCTCTTGGCGTTACAATTAACGCGTCATAAACTTACAAAAACACCGAGAGAGATCCGGGGCGGGAATTTAATGTTACGAGCTGCTCTCGCGTTAAAGCCGCATATTAGGGACACGTGCATAACAGTAATTTCGTAGCAACAGAGTATCAGTACAAAGTATAAAACGGCACAGGAGTCTCTTATTAAATTTGTTTACCTTTAGCATATACACAGCTCCTCTCAAAATAAGAAGAAAATCGTGAGAAGGGTGTCGAAATTTTTCCTCTTCCTCTTCAAACTCGAAAATTATTTTTCGATACACAGGATTCTCTTATTAAATTTGTTTACCTTTAGCATATACACACTTGCTTTTCTCAAAATAAAAAGAAAATCGTGAGAAGGGTGTCGAATATTCAAACATTTAGAATTCGAGATTAAAAAAGAATAATAATAATTTAATTCCTCTTCCTCTTCAAACTCGAAAATTATCTTTTGATATATAAAACACAGGATTCTCTTATTAAATTTGTTTATATTTCGCATATACACACTTGCTCCTAAAAAAAGAAGGATGTCAGATATTTCAAATATTTATAATACGAGAAAAATTTAAAAAAGAATAATAATAATTTAAATTTTTGCTCTTCTTCTCCAAACTCGAAAATTATCTTTTGATACAGGGCTCTCTTAATTAAATTTATTTATATTTCGCATACTTGCTCCTAAAAAAAGAAGAAAATCGTAAGAAGGATATCGGATATTTCAAACATTTAGAATTCGAGATTGAATTTAAAAAAGAATAATAATAATTTAAATTTTTGCTCTTCTTCTCCAAACTCGAAAATTATCTTTTGATACAGGGCTCTCTTAATTAAATTTATTTATATTTCGCATACTTGCTCCTAAAAAAAGAAGAAAATCGTAAGAAGGATATCGGATATTTCAAATATTTATAATACGACAAAAATTTCAAAAAGAATAATAATAATTTAAATTTTTTCTCTTCCTCTTCAAACTCGAAAATTATCTTTTGATACAGGGCTCTCTTATTAAATTTATTTATATTTCGCATACTTGCTCCTAAAAAAAGAAGAAAATCGTAAGAAGGATGTCGGATATTTCAAACATTTAGAATTCGAGATTGAAATTTAAAAAAGAATAATAATAATAATTTAAATTTTTGCTCTTCTTCTTCAAACTCGAAAATTATCTTTTGATACAGGGCTCTCTTAATTAAATTTATTTATATTTCGCATACTTGCTCCTAAAAAAAGAAGAAAATCGTAAGAAGGGTGTCGGATATTTCAAACATTTAAAATTCGAGATTGAAATTTAAAAAAGAATAATAATAATTTAAATTTTCAAACTCGAAAATTACCTTTCGATACGTGAGGCAATCATTTAAACGTGAACCCTCTATCATCCTCTCGATTCCTCGAGATCGGTAAATAAGCAATATCGAAACTCCGCTGGTCCAATTATAAAGCACAACACAGAGAGATAGAGAGAGAGAGATGCGATTACTTTTAGTATACTTATCCTAACAATGTTACCTTATCACCCTTACCTGGTAATTACTCAAAGCTTATCGCTCGTTTTCATTAGATTTCGACTCGAGGCGGAGATCGCCGGTTCAAGGTTATCCGGAGGGGGAGAGAGGAGGAGCAATGAGGAAGTTGGCGGAGAGAAACTATGCGGAGGATATTGGTGGACGTAGTTGGCGGTCGAATATCGAATTGCCGATACGGGAACTTTCCAATTAAAATGCAAATTTTCACCTAGTCGCAATTCGCGCAACGATTACGCTCTCTCCCCTCGATTGCGGGGCCCGAGCATCTTTCTGATTGATTCGAGAACTAATAACGAGAACATTGTTCGTTAATTGAAATCTTGCTAATTTTACGGAGGAGAAGAAAAGAGAACTAGAGAGAAGAATTGAAATTAAGCACGTTGATACATTTATAGAAAATGATTAAGAATTCAGAATTCAGAAAGAATTCGTTCCTCTCCAAGAGTTGATACAATAAAAAAATTTTTTATTATACTAATATAATTTTTTTATTATATAATAAAATTGTTTATTTATATTTTTTATTATATTATAGATAATAGGGATTAATTGGAGAAAATGAATTGAAGTTTTAATTAAAGACAAGTTTTAAAAGAAAGTTTAAAAGTGTGTATAGCAATATTATACGGTTTCGTAGATTTGACACTCGTAGCTGTTCGATTGTACACGATTTTATCAATCGTGTTCCAAAGTTCCAACGCTATCAGAGCGAGACGACGTGACAAGGAAACCGAATTTCGCCGACACGAGTCGGTTTTTGCCCGCTCGTCCGAATCCACCTTTCGGTAAGGACAAGTTCTCGTCAAGATTTAATGCCAACTGCGATTCACCATTTAACCGTGCGAACAATTCTATCCATCGTCGATTTCGAACAGAACAGTGCCGTCTTTCCAACGATTTCGATAGCCTTCCGTGCTAGAATCGTCCAATCGATTGTCCCCACGACGGTCGTTCAATTTTCGAAATAGCTTATTCCAACAGTGATTTCGATAGAAATGGATATTGGCGGTACGACGTTTGAATAAAT